AGATGCCCAGTGGGGTTTCAAAAGCCCCGTGGCACCTAACTCCCATTAAAACCTTTTGAAAATAGGGTGTAGGCTCTTAAATTGCTTAGGGTAAGATTGTCAAAAACTCCTAAGTGACTTGCGTAAAGGAATCTCTGGCCAAGCCCTCAACTGAATCCATATTCCTCACCTTATTGTTCAAAATGCTTCAACAGGTTCCTGTGAAATTTGAGCTTGATGTGCACTCATGAACTTGTCAAATCGGTATTTCCTGTGGCAAAGTTTCTGACCAGGAAGGGGGCAGGGTATTCGTGCGTTCTGTGCACTGGACAGGGATTCAGGAGATATGGATTCTGTCTGGGACTTGGCCAAAGATTCCTCTGGGACCCTGGGCAAATCACTTGGGTGCTCTTGAAAATTTGACCCCAAGTGACTTAGGAGCCTAAGTCCCATTTGCAAAAGATTTCAAGGGGAGTTAGGTGCTTCAGGGGGTGAGGGGGTTGAATACGCCACTAAGAGATTATCTGCATCTTTAGGCACCTAAGTACTTTTAAAAATCCGGCCCCCAGGAGGCTAAGTCCCATTGACTTTCAATGTGACTTCAGCTCATTTTTGAAAATGGCACCTAGGCGCCTCGGTCATTTCAAGGCTTTTGAAAATGTTATTACTGACATTTCCATTGGTAACATGGGGTTAGTAGCACTTCCTTTCTCCCACCCTGCACCCGCCTGGTCTTTTTAGACAGCAAGCTCCGCAGGGCAGAGATTGTTTCTCACGAGGTTTACGTACAGCCCCTACCGCCAGGGGGCCCCAGTCTCAGCTGAAGCCTCTGCTTACTGCTGGAATACAAGAAAAAATGAGGAAGGGACTAGGATTCAACAGACGTGGAATGCAGTCCTGGCCATGCCCTGACTCACTGTGGCACCTTGGCCTGGTCACTTCCCCTCTCTCAGCCTCAGTTATCTCATCAGTAAAATGGGAATAACTCAGATTCTGAAGCCAGATCATCTAGTCTGGCCTCCTGCAAAACACAGGCCTTCGGACTTCCCTGAATTAATCCTAATGTCAAGCATAAGGCTACGTACCCACTTGGTAACGTGCTTTGAAATCTGATGATGAAATATTGATGCTACTCCATATTACCACCCCTGCCCAAAGAAATCCAGAATATTATGTTATTATTTACCACAAACAGTGAGAGAACAAGACACGGAGATTTAGAGCAGTAAAATAATTCATATTATATTTCCATAATATTTTTCATACTAGCTAGCTAGATGGGGACATACGGGGATAACCAGATAGATAGATGGAGGGGGAAATATAGGGCGATCTTGCTAGCTAGGGACACATGGGGATAGATAGATAGATAGATAGATAGATAGATAGATACAAATCACTTTAGTAAGTGCTCCCCAATATGAGTAAAGGGGTTGTAATCTGAACATTATAAAAATACCCTATGCCTTCACTTCCAATAATGGCTGAGTATGGAAGCTGCATTATTAGAAGGCAGTTTGGGGGAGATGTGAACTGAAAGAGCTTTCATGGAGTACTTTGGTAGGCGGAATGAGTAACACTCCAACAAGGTCTGAAGGAATTTCTAATGTGGCTTGGGGGAGGAGGTAGACAGGTTGGGGATTTTTCAGAGAGGGTTTGAGGAAATGTAGGAGAAAACTGCAAGGTTCTGGCCAAAGGACATTGTGGGTGCACAAGATCTGATGGAGCATTTAGGTGTATTTCATCCAGAAGCTGGTGTTTGTGATTTAGGAGAAGTTCTGCCAAACAGGTTGTCACAGAGCATTTATGGGGACAGGACTGTCAGTTGCAAGAGCATACATACTCAAGCACTGGACTAGCGGTATCAGAATAGATTATGCGTCTATCTGGTTACGGGGCAGCATTCATCCACGCAGCGGCCAGCCAGAGACATCTAGGAAGACCCTTCCTGCAGGATCACTGTGATAAGCATTCGTTGGCAAATCTGCGCAGTTGTTTGTTTTCATGCTGGCAGGGTAGCTCTGTGCAGGGGCTCAACTGTACATGAATGCAGCTTAGATTGCTCAGATGCCCCGATGGACAGCTCTGGATAACGGAGGTGTTGGACAATTGAGGGAACATTCAATGCAATTCACAGACGTGGGCAGGCATGACCCTGTGTCAGATAAGAGGGAATTAGGCTCAGATAATTGAGGTTGTGCAGGGCTGGTTTAGGTTTATATATAAAGTATCAAGGAGACGTCTGTTTTTCTGCTGAACTCGGTTCACTTTGTTACCACTTCTTCCCATTCACCCCTTCCCCATCTGTCTGATCATATACTTCATCCTGCGTGCGGGAGGAGCAATTAGATGATCTCTTGAGGTCCCTTCCAGCTCAACCTTTCTGGACCCCTGGCCAGCAAGCTCTCCTGGGCAAGGACTGTCTTCTGTGCTATCTGTCTGCACAGCTCTTAGCACAGCAGGGCCGCATCCTTGACTGGGGATCACCAGTGTAACCACTGTCACTGCTGCCTGAAACTCTCCAGCTGCTGTTCTGCAGCCGGTCAGAACAGCTGATCAGAACGGTCCCTTCCGGCCTTAAAATCTCTGGCTCCAGGCAGCAGAGGGGAATCCTGCAGCATTTGATGAGATACTTGAGCTGAGACTCCCAGAGGTACAGCACAAAAAGGGGCAGAGAGTGCTTCAAAGCACCATTGTGCTGCTCCCCTCCTCCCCCGTCTGGGTTTCTCCGGGGGCGGCATCAATTAGAATAGCCAGGGGTTGCTCTAAGTTGCAGTCGTCCCCCAAGAGCTGCCTATGGGACTCTGGAGATACCCCTCCCATGCTGGCTTGCCCCGTGTGCCAAGGCTTACAATGGGAGCTGGCAACGTAGGGCCGCTTCTGGGTGGCATATGCAGTGCCGTCACCTGGGGGAATTCTGCCCGGGGCTTTAGCAGTGGAGGGGAGAATTTCTCCTAGAGCGGGTCAGGAATTTTCAGACTATACAGCTTTTCGTTGGGGGATGCCGAGGGGTTGAAACTGTTCATGGGAAAGGATCGGCTTTGACAAATAGACTTCTAGACTTTGAGGTCAGACGGGACCATCACGATCACCTCGTCTGATCTCCCGCACATCGCAGGCCACAGAACCTCACCCACCCGCTCCAGTGATGGACCCCCAGCCTCTGGCTGAGTTCCTGAATCCTCAAATCATGGTTTAAAGATGTCAAGTTCCAGAGAACTCACCATTTACACTAGTTTAAATCAGCAAGTGACCCAACCCCCTTGCTGCAGAGGAAGGCAAAAAACCATCAGAGTCTCTGCCAATCTGACCTGGGGGAAAAATTCCTTCCCGACCCCAAATACGGTGATCGGTGAGATCCTGACATGTGGGCCATGTCGACACCAGCCAGACACCTGGGAAAGAATCCTCTGTAGTAACTCAGAGCCCTCCCCACCCAGTGTCTCATCTCCAGCCATTGGAGATATTTGCTGCTTGCAGTCACAGATCGGCTACATCCCAACGTAGGCAGTCTTATATCGTGCCCTCCATAAACTTATCAATTCAAAAATGTTTTTTTAAAAAAGGAAACATTCTGAAACGCTTGAAACATTTTGACCTTTTTTTAAGCAAAACGTTTCACTTTTGGTTGGAAATGTTAGGGAATTAATACTTTTTTAAAAGTTTAAAAAACATTTTGAAGGTCGAAATCAGAACAAAACAGTTCGACTTTATCAAGACCAAATGATCTGACTGACCCGATGCAGTTTATTTCAGAGTACCAGTGCCTGAAAATGCTGAGATTTTGATGTTTCATCATGATTCAGAATGGGGAAATATTTCAAAATCTCAAAAACTCACATGGGATGGAACAACCATTTCCCCAGCCAGCTCTGTCCCTCCATTGCTCCTAGCCCTGTCCAGTCATACCTTGGCCCCCCGGCCCCATTCGCTTCCCCCTAGACACTGCACCTTTTCTGACTCCCAGGGGCATTTCCAATTCAATTCGTTCCACCAGAACTCAAATCCAGTGTCACTGAGACCCCCAGCTGCAGCCCTGGAAAGCGGCAGTCAGGAATGCCCTAGTCTGAAGCCATATTTCTCTCCAGCCTTGGGAGAGGACAGCAGAGCCATTCCTTATTCACAACTCCAGATAATCTACACGAATGAAAAAAACGGATCGATAGGAGAGTAAATCTGCTCAAAGGGGATATTTACTGCTGAGCCAGGCACTGTCTGGATTTGAGATTCAGCAAGACCGTGACGGGGGCAAAACAGTGTTAAGTGAGATGTACAAAACAGCGCAGCTCCATGGCACAGTGTAGCACAGGGTCATGAGACGTTGCGGGGGACCCGGTGAGGTATGAAGCGTTGACAGGTTACCATCATTCCTCACCTTATCGTACCAACTCGATACCCCTAAGCAAGCGCAGCTCCCTGCAGCGCTAGGTGCTGTACGTATGCATTGAAACACTCCCTGCCCCAAAGAATTTACACTCTCAATTAACACAGGGAGGATTATTACCCCCTTTTACAGATAGGAACGGCGAGACTAAGCAACATGCCTGAGGTCACACAAGGAGTGCATGCCAGAGCGACCCTAACTCTCTAGCACTTCGACCACAAGCCCTCCCTTCTCCATTCCTGCTACTGGCTGGGTTCTGATCAGTGTTTTACAAGGGACAGGGGAGACAGACCTCTCCAGAAACCTGGGGTGAAATCTGGGCCCCATTGGTGTCAGGGACTAAACTTCACTTGACTTCAGTGCAGCCAGGATTTTGCTCCTTGTGCGGCTGCTGCAATGAATCAGCTGTCAGCTGATGGCTGATTGGAGCGGAGGCCACCTGACAGCAGAAGGAGGGGACACATGGGGGCAGAGAGGAGACCGTGCAGGTAGACATGCTCCTGGCCACGAAGAGCCCGATCAGCTGTTCTCATGGTGAGCAGCTCTTCCCTGTGTCCCCAACTCTGAGCACACCCCGAAGAACCACCCTGGTAAGCAACAACACACCCGCCCTCCATTCGCCCCAGCCCAGGCTCACCTCTCAGAGGGCACGGTCCATTGGCCACTACACAGCTCCAGTCCTAGCCAGCTCAGTTCGGGGCCTTCTTGCCTGCAGAAAACTTCTCCTATGGAAGCCCGACTGCTCCAGCACTTCTGGCTTCAACGCCTGGGAGAAAGGCAGGGAGGAGAACCCTGTTAATCCCAAGGCGGCTGGAAGTCTCATCCATCGCCCTCCCATTGCCCGTTCTACAAGTCAGCAGCCGGCCCTTTCCCCAGCGCAGCCTCCTGCCGATGATTAGAAGGTAGAAGCGAGGCCCGTGTGATGCTCAGGGATCACACCATGCTGATGGCACTTGCCGGAGATCTGCTTTATTCTGTGTCCATTTACAACCAGCTGTGCCTAACAACCAGAGCCTAAAGGCATCTCGTCCAGCCTCTCTGGCTGGGAAGCTCATCCCTTAAAGGCCCAGTCCCCTATAGCACACCCTAGAAGCCATTGCAGCTTCTGGAAGGAAAGGCGATGAGATAGCAATATAGCGTGTCATCCCACTTCTGCCCAGTTACAGGTAATCCTCATCTTCTAGATTAGGAGTCAGACCCTCCCCTTCCACCCAGCCCCAGCAGAGGAGAACTTTCTTAGTTGTCAGTTTCTCAGCCGGTTAAACGTGTTTTGAATCCCAAGCAGCAACATCAACCATAGCAGGTGATTTCCACCCCAGCTATAACTACATCGGATGACTTGTTCATTAGCCCAGCCTTGTCTTCCTGCCAGGTGTCTGTGTTGCAAACGAGGCCTTCCTGAGCCAAGATCAGCTGTTTTTCTCCAAAGCCTCAAACTTCTTAAAAATTTATCATATGAAAATCGCACAGATTAATCTTTAGTGTGGGGAGGCCTAAGTTCTACCACATGTAGGGGTGTGAATGTGTCACGGGAAATGGATCCATTTAGAAGTCCGAACAAGCCTCAGAGTCCAATGGGCTGGTCTGTTTATCATAGCCCACGGGCAGCCATTAAGCCACAGGCCCCGTTTGCACCTCTGGTCTGTTTATTTTGGGCTAGCTTGGGAACCATTCGATCACGTTGCTGAGCCACGACTCATGTAAGCAGTCCCACTGGAAACAATGGGATTGCCATGTCAGCCCGCACTGCCAACCCCAAGTATCCAAAAAACATGAGTCAAGCCCCCCCCAAATCATGAAATTGACTTAAAAATCATGAGATTGTAAGAAACTGACAAATAATGGGTTTCTTTTTATGTTTCTTTAGACAAATAAAAACCATGACTTGAAAGTGGCCATGGTTTCAAGATTTTTCCTTCAACCATGAAGGCTAAAAAACCATTTTTTACTGACACCTGAGATTCTCATGTGATCCCCTGACTCCAGGGGCTGGGGCTTTAAGAAAAGCCACCAATATTGCAAGTCTCTCAATAAAAATCTTGATAAAAACCCTGCATACCAGTGGGAGTAATGGATTCACCAGCTAACCCTTGAGCAGCTCCCCAGCAGACTGGGTTTTTATTACTGGCTTTTCTCTGATGGGAATGTCACTATGAAAAGAAGCAGGTACCTTCCCTTATGCCTACACTAGCAGGGCTTACTAGCACCTTCCATAGCAAGATCTCTATGCACTTTGCAGGCCACCAAACTGCCCACTAACCCCTGTGCATCAGGCCAGGACACGTTATCACCATTTTACAGAGGAGGAAACTGAGGCGCAGGCAGGTTTAGCCACATATCCAAGGTCACCCTGTGGATCGGGGACAAAGCCAGGACTCTCCATTTCAGGTGGTCGTTGACATCAGTGCCATGTGAGAACAACATGGATGTAAAACTCTGCCGGATCAGAATGGTAGCATTTGCCCCCACTTTGCATGGTTGTGAATGAGGGTGTAATGGGATATGGAGTGCTGAGGTCATATTACATCTAACTCTTCTACACGCCCCTTTTCCTGCACCTCCGCTGAACTGCTTGCTGAAGAGGCCAGAGCTCTGTCTTATCCAGACTTTGCAAAAAAAAAACAACATTGCACAAAGTTATAGTTTAAAGGGTACTGTACGTAAAGCCCTGAATGGAGCGGTTAATAGTTCCCAGCCAGCTTCCAAGAGATACTGATGAATAACTTCTTAACCAAAAGCTATTAGGTAGCTGTCTACTGGTGTTTGCTACACACACATCCCCACTTTGTGGCTGTTGGGTATATTTAAACGCAGCATTTCAACACAACTTCCCTCCTTTGGCACGCACGCACTGCCCTCTGATCTTCTCTCAGCGACGATTTCTCAGTCCCTGTACTGTAGTTACAATATGTAGTGGGTGCCACCAGGATACTTCCGAGCCTGGAAAGAATGGCAGCATCCCCGGTCTTTTCCAAACCCTCCAGTGCCTTGGCAACAAACCGGAGTCTGGAATCCTTCACAGCAGCATTCCCACCTTTGGGTTAACAGCTGACTGGTCTGCTCGGCAGCTGATAAGCTGAATCAGTAGCCTGTGTCCAAAGGGGTTCAGGTATTGGGACCCCGCCCTCAGAGCAGATAGTTTCTCAGTCCCACGTGGATCAGCCAATGGGTCCGCAGAGTTGTCTTTAATTCCTGCATTTATACCCCGTCCCCTCACTCCTGAGCTCCAATTGGCTCAGCTCTCGGGCAGCTGCCTCTAAATGAAAGCTTCAGAACCGGCTACCGAGCATGTCCGTGAGCTGCCACACTTCCCTCGGACAGTTCCTGGGCCCTTCGAGCTGGATCGCCCTGCTTCGCCTTCTGCACGCATGCAGTCACAGAGGATTCAATCAAAATCCACGTCTGCTCCCCGCTGCTCCTCTCCCCCCCTCAGATCAAAAAAGGATCAAATGCTGCAGGATAAAGCCTGTGGGTTGCAACCGCGCCAGGCACAGGGCCATGGAGACACTGGCCCCAGGAACCCTGACTTGCTATGCTCTGCTCTGCTCTGTAGGCTAGAGCAGGGTGCAAACCCATTTATAGACTGTTCCTGCTGCAGCCCATGCTCTCCTGCCTCTGCCTACCGTGCGTGGCAAGGAACAGCTACACCTGCAGATGGAGTGTACAACCATGCAATCCGCAAGAAGGTATCAGTGCCGAGTCACTGCAGAAAAGGGGGAGCTTTGAACACCAGGATTTCCAGGCTATATTGTCTCTCTGTCTTCTCGATTGAGGACCCCTTCTTTTTCACCGGAGAGCTTGTCTGTGGATCCGAAAGGACAGGGCCATTCAAAGGGGTCTTCGTTCTCCTGCATGCCCCAGGACCGCACTGCCCATCAAACGCCATCCCATGGCTGCTGATGAAGACAGGGCTCCATTTCCTCGTGTGCGACCACTGGATAGAGCAGTGTTGTGTGTTTACATCTTCTGCCGCAAAAGGCCCCAGTACACTCTGCTGGGGCCAGATTTTCGGGGGGGGGGGGCTCTGTCTGTGCTTGCAGGCAGTGGGCAGAAATAGCTGCAGACACAGTCCTGCATCAGCGGTACTTGTAGACACGCTTTAGTTCATCCAGAGGTCCGGGTGCCTGATTGTCCCCACCGATCAGGGGCGCCCAAGGCAGCTAACCTGTGTGCCGTATCTCTTGGACACCAGGGTGATGGGCACAGTATACACAGCTAGATACAGAAAGCCACTCCCATGCCACTGACATGCAGCTGCCGGGTTTAGCACTTCTGACCCAATCTGAATGTTATCGGTCCCCTACAGGCACTTTCCCACTTCATAAAGGTTGGGACCCAAGTGCAAAATTCCCCATCATGTGAGATCCACAAGGAGCTATCAGTTTTGGAGGGACAACTCCAAACCCAGTAAAGGAGGCAGAAACATACATCCCCTTTCCACCTACCTGTGGCACTCACGTGGCCCCCTTCGTCCCCCAGCAGACCAGTGAAGTAAAGAAGAATAGTTATCCCCGTCTCACAGATGGCAAACTGAGGCCCAGAGACACTAAGGACAGACAGGAAATCTGTGGCAGAGCAAGGAATCAAGCGCGGGTTTCCCAAGCCCACAGCTAGTCTCCTAACCACTGGCCCATCTCCCGAGGAGCTCTGCAAGCATCCCTCTCTCTCCACCCCCTTTGCAAGTCCTTGCACAGAAAGTCCAAGGGCAACAGAGCCAGCAAAGCTGCACAGACGCAGACTGCAGACCTGGCCTAGGGACTATCTGGGGCATTTGCTTGTGCTGTGGACAGTGTTTCTAATTTCGTCCATCTTGGCTAATCTAGCCCAAGGGGAAAGCGGAGCCAAACGACTGTGCTCCTTGCTTGGAAGGAGCAGATCTTCCAGCTCAGCAATGCAGCTGGGGCTGGTTTAGCGCCAGTCAGATTATGTTACGCAGTGACAGGGCGACTTGCCCATGCTGTACTCTTCTCTGGGACCAGGATGGCTTTCAACCTTCCAGCAACACCAGACATCCAGATACAGCGGCTGCAGTTGGAGCAACTGGCAGGTGTAAGCAAGAGAGATGGTCGAAATGCCTTGGAAACCTGACAGGAGAAGAGATGGATGGGGCCGGGGCAGGCTCTCCTCGACAGGCGCCACCTTCCACACTGCAGCACGAGCCGGGGGGGCTAGTGGATCCCTGCCTCATAGCAGGGAGAATGGAGATCGCTCAGGGCTGCGCTGGTGGGTCATTCCTGCAATTGAATGGGCTTTTAAATCAGGGCCTCGCTTTCTCTGATCAATGTGTTTGGATGGCTCCGTGGGCCAAGACACCGGGCTTTTAGTTGGGCAGGCCGGGATCCAAATGCTGCCCTAGATCGCCGGAGGGGACAGGAGATTGGTGGCTTGTGCTTCGTTCCCTCTTTGTGCACAGCTGAGAGCTGGCAGCCTCTGCTCGAGTGGAGCTGCGGTAGTGGGGGGATGCAGTGGAGGGTCGAGGGGCGTTGGCAGAACTGTGTGTATGTGCAGAGGCCAGGAATGGGCTAGCAGCGGCTGTGGGTTGGGTTGGGACTGACGTATCATGGCAGAGCCCAAGACTGGAGGAGCAGGGGGTGGGGGAGCCGGCGGTCAGGAACAGGTTGATGAGCGGACACTGCAGTGTACCAATTTCTAGCCTGCACTAATTTATTACCTCCTCTGTCTCATTAGCATATATAGTTTTAACCCCCAGATCCTTCCTAAAACTGCCCAGTTTTTCAAAGAACACCACGTCTCTGAACGTAAGAG